CACAATAAAGGTCTAGGTTTCTATATGAGTCCCTATTCCCATCTCTATTGGTTCGGTGACAAATGTTGCAGGGGCCTCACCTGCTACCAAGCCATCCAGCTGGCAAAAAGCCACCTGCACTTTATATTGTTTGAGTCTTAGACCTAATTTCTGAACTAGGGCAGGCTGACCAGGCACCTGGTTCACCCTGAATCCAGGAGGGCTACCAAGCTGCCCTTACACCCTGAGGATGGCACCACCAGTTCTATGGGAGTGGTTACTGGGATGACTTAAGTCTCATCCCAGCTGTGCCAGCAGAGGTGGCATGCTGACACAGAGAAGACCCTAACCCCATTGGCTCCAGTATTCCGGCCAGGGGGTTCCATCCTTCTCTTCCGTTGCACCTGCCCTGTGGAACATTTTGCCCCCTCCCCCAAGTGAGGTTGGCTACAATCTTCTCCACCTTCTGTAACTTAAACTGGCTCTGCCAGTTGGCATGGGGCTCCAATGGGAGAGCATCACAATGGAGGTGGTTGATCAATTAACAACCGATCCTTCCTTCCCCCTGTTCAACTCCCATGCAGTCCTATTTGTGTGTATGTGTATGTGTGTGTGTACTATTTAGGCTTTTATCTTTGTACAATTTTTATTTTTAAAATTGTAAACCTCCCAGAGTTATCCAAAGGTAAGGTGGGCAGCCAATAAATGTTATAAATAAACAAACAAAAACAAAGTTATAAGTTTTATTCATATGAGATCTTCAACTCCAAAATGTACAGTATATTACAGTTTATGAGATGTGACTATGCAACTGTGACAATTTTAAAACTGTATGTTTGCTGTGGGAAAAGCAAGGCTGATTTAAAATCACAACATATTCTGAGATGAGATCCAAAGCATACCATGCTACATATAGTTGGACTGTTTACTTTCATAATTGATCCATCTTAAGAGGTTTTCATACAGAGCCACTTGTAAGTAATACTTCTGATGTATTGCAATGTCTGTCATTTAAGGATGTACATCATGGAAACGGTACACAACAAGCTTTCTACAGTGATCCCAATGTCCTTTATATTTCACTACATCGCTATGATGATGGAAACTTCTTCCCAGGCAGTGGAGCCCCTGATGAGGTAATAATATGATACATATGTCTTTTCAGATTTCTTTGTAATGCAATCCTACAACTTGGAAATTCAAGTGATAAAATGCTGGATCTTACAATGCAAGTGAGAGAATCTGATTTCTTCCATTTTCAGAAGTAAATGTTTTAGCTTTTAATTCTCTAAAATTCTTTAGCCGCATCCCTCAAATCCATGATAGCTAAAGTTAGAGGTGACAACATAAGTTCTTCATGGTTTGGATTTTATCCATCTCTATATAAAATTTAGATATAGAAATGTGAATATAGCAATAGCATTTGGATTTATATACCACTTCATATTGCTTTACAGCACTCTCTGAGCAGTTTACAGAGTCAGCATATTGCTCCCAACAGTCTGGGTCCTCATTTTACTGAGCTCAGAAGGATGGAAGGCTGAATCAACCTTGTCAGGATCGAACTTCAGACTGTGAGCAGAGTTAGCCTGCAATACTGCATTCTAACCACTGCGCCATGAGGGCTCTTGGTGATATATAAATTAGTCCTCAACTTACGACCACAACTGAGGCCAGAATTTATGTTGCTAAGTGAGAAATTTGTTAAGTCAGTTTTGCCCCACTTTTCTTGTTAAGTGAATCGCTGCTGTTTTTAAATTAGTAACATGATCAAGTGAATCTGGCTTCCCCATTGACTTTTGCTGGTCAGAAGGTCACAAAAGGGGATCACAGGACCCTAGGACACTGCAACTGTCATCAATATGAACCAGTTGTCAAGCATCTGAATATAAATACACGACCGTGGGGATGCTGCAAGGGTCATAAGTGTGAAAAATGGTCATAAGTCACTTTTTTAGTGCTATTGTAACTTTGAACAGTCACTAAACGAACTATTGTAAGTCAAAGACTACCTGTACATATATGAGAAAGAGAGAGAGGTCCGCAAGGTACAGGCTATGCAGAGATGCCTGAGAGATAGTCCAACACATAGTGGCAGGATGTAAGGTACAGACAGGAATAGCATGTATTGAACAACACAACCAGATACCTGGCATAATGTACAGGAACATCTGCACAGAGTATGGGTTAGACTGTTCCAGGTCAGGATGACAAATTCCACAGAACCTTGTGGAGAATAATAGGACTAAGATCCTGCCAGGTTTCCAGATCCAAATGTACAGGCAGATACTATCCAATCAACCAGGCATTGTGGTAGTAGACAAGGACCAAAACACAGCAGCGGTGATAGATGTAGTGATGCTAAGTGATAGCAACATCAGGAAGGAGTATGAAAGACTATAGAAGTTTCAGGGCCTGAAGGGAGAACTAGAAATCACGTGACAAATAGAGGCCAAAGTAATGATAAGAGCACTCAGGGCTATAACAGGAGTTAAGCTGGGAGAGTGAACAGATCCCAGGAAGAACATCAGAGCTCTCTTTCCAGAAGAGTTGTCAGCCACTGTCTCTTAGTCCTAGGAAACCGGCAATGGCAAAGCACTTGCAAAATCGTGCGAGAAAACTGCAAGGATTAATCCAGGCAATTGCCAGGAGAAGCATTAATAATGAATGAATACATCTAATTAATTGTATTCTTAATCCCTGCTTGGGATGTTATTATTTATCAGAAAGAAAATCCTCAACTTACCACCGTTCATTTAATGACAGTCCAAGTTATGATGGGCTTGGAAAAAGTGACTTACAATCTGTACTGCACTTACAACCATTGCAGTCACATAATTACAATTCGGATGTTTGGTAACCAGCTCGCATTTGCAGCTGATTGTCACATCCTGCCATCATGTGATTGTGACCTTTTTTGTCAATTTCCAACAATACAAAATGCCCACTGGGAAAGGTGGATTTACTTAACTACTTAAAAATTGTTGTAAAATCAGAAATGACACAACTTACAACAGAAATGCCAATTGTAATTGAAAGTTGAGGATTACCTGTACCAGTATACAGGTAGGATATTGCCATCATTGACTCAAAGGCAGAAATAAATAAATAATCATGTTTAAATCTCTGCTTCTCGTGTTGTTGTTTATCACACTATCAGAGGATTCTCTCAGATCAAATAATAGTCTTATGTTTAGAAGAAAACGTTCTCACAGTAATACTTGTAATTGATAGAAACAATCAATGCAAGGAATTGATTGCCCAGTCTGTGTGAAGCTGATTTTGTAATTTAAAAATAGAAAGGATGTGTATTTCTTTGACCTATTCCAACTTTCTTCAAATCTGTCGAATTCAAATGCTTTAGTCAGAAACTTTCTAGTCAGCATGGGAATTTTCCATAACTAATTGGTAAAGGCTGTCCTGTACTGCTCCTACTCATTTACTGGGCATATGTAGGAAAGATATTGTCTCTCTTTCAACGAAATTGTAACGTGGTCATTCATTGAAATAATTGTGGAGAAAATTGGGAGTTATTTTTTTTTTAACTGCACTTAATTTACATCTTAATTGTACAACAGTTAATGAAAAGTTCAGCCATATAATTTATTGTCTTTATGGGCCCATATCTGGATTTTTGTAAACAAATTCTAGTTTGAGTGGATATCTATTTTCCCTGTAATTAAAAGCCTAGAATCTTAAATGCTAGAGATCAGAGGTTATTGTCCTGCTTTGTAAATTTCCCAGATGTCCCTGATTGGCAATTGTGTGATACACAATGTTGGATTAAGAGGGTCTTTTGGCTTGACAATCCTGCACCTGTTGTCAATTATATAGTATAAACTATTATTTAATATTACGCTGCTCTCATACTAAGATAACTAACTGTATTGCAATATATAGAATAATTTTTTAAAATAAACATAAATATTTTCAAATTGTGTTCATAAGTTGAACACTATCTGGAGTGAACAATTCATTTCCTTGACTTTCTAATTGTTCCTTACATACTGAAAGCAAATTACAGATTTGAACTATTTGCTGGTATCCTATTCTGGTTATGTACCCCCCCCCTTCCATTTCTTTATACTTGTCCTTTTTATCCCTTAGTTTGTCAGAGACCTCTTTGTGCAACCATGCTCATTTCGTCCGGTATCTCATTTTTCTTTCTCTGTGATATTTTTCTTTTTTGTCCTTTACTGTCTTGTTTTTCCATCTTGAACTGTTTTTCCCTAGGATTTCCATTCATGGAATCTTTCCTAATCTATCTCTTAGTTTGATGAAGTCAGCTCTTTTAAAGTCTAATTTTCTTTAGTTACCTGTGCCTGCATTATGATGAAATCTAGTATGCCTAGAAAGAAAGAAACGAGATACCAGATGAAATGAGCATTTGTTGCACAAAGAGGTCTCTGACAACTGAGGGATAAAAAGGACAAGTATAAAAAAACGGAAAGTGGGGGTATTATAACTAGAATAGAATTCCAGCAAATAGCTCAAATCTGCATTCAGTAAAGTTTGCTCATCTTCCACCAGCAGCATTCTAGTTATCTCTATTCCATTTTATCCTTTTCAATTCCTCCTCTTGAGGGACCAAGAGATCCACGGGTTGGAAGAGATTGCATGAAGCAATCCTGTTCAAAGCCCCATTCAAGGCAGTGACTAGGAGGTTTACACAACAGATAATGTCAAGAATAGGATGGTGTCATGAATATATTTAAAAGTTAAGATGGTTTGTACCTTTACATTCCAATCACACTTATTGTGTTAGTGAAGGATTCAAAATGTCTTCATCGGTTTATATTTTCTCATATTAAATTGTATAAGAGCTGTTAAGTGATTTGAAGTGCTGTTAAGCAAATAATCTTAGAGATATTTCTTAAATACATAACCTGTTTCATTCTTTTTCTTCAATTTCTATTTTCTTAGGTTGGCATAGGATTGGGTATTGGTTTTAATGTAAATATTGCATTTACTGGTGGTCTTAATCCACCAATAGGAGACCCAGAATACTTGACTGCTTTCAGGTAATTCTTTATCATTTTTTCTTAGATTGATGGGTCATTAGAAGTATGTCAACAAACCACAATATTCTAATTTGTACACTTATACTAAGCATAAGCCTCATGCTTATAAAAAATGAAATAAGTTACATAAAGGCAATGCCAGTTTTAATGAATGAAATTTATCTCTATAATGTTTTGGTTTATGATATATTTCTCATGTGATATTTTTCATGCTATTTATGTTAATAGTGGTTCTTTTCAACATATATTCCTTATATTACATTTTCTCTTGTAGTTTTTGATGAGTAAGTCTCATTTTAATTAAGTCAAGGCACTGTGACATCCTTTATTTATAGCATCAGATTAAGAAAAATAATTGCTGGAACTACTGTTCATGGTAAAATTATCCTAATGGTCCATTTTAGATAAATACCAAGGGAAAATGTAAGTTTAGAGCTAAAGAAACTATAGAAACAAGCTGCAATAGCAATAGCACTTATATACCGCTTCATAGTGCTTTACTTCTCTAAGAGGTTATAGAGTCAGCATATCACCCCCAACAATCTGGGTTCTCATTTACTGACCTCAGAAGGATAGAAGGCTGAGTCAACCTTGAGCTGGTGAGACTTGAACTGCCAAGATGCAGGCAGCTGGCAGTCAGCAGAAGTAACCTGCAGTACTGTATTCTAACCACTGCGCCATCATGGTTAGAACGCAATGAGGAATAAAAACTAGTATATTTGTTCTGTTTCTCACAACATTCATTATATTCTAAAGCAAAACATTTGAATTAGGCTAGACAGCTATGCCTAAATATATTTTTGTGCCCCCACAAAGATCTTTTAAATACAGTTGGTAAAAATTAGCCGTAGAGTTCCCTACAATTTTGAGATGGAAAAACATGCCAAAGTTGTCCAAATAGTGTAATACTAATACTAATAGTGTAAAACAAAGAATAAAAATCCACCACAAAGCCTAGGATAGTAATCTAGTTGATTGCAGCCAGAAAACTTCCAAAACAATGGCAAATGCAATCAACAGGAACTAGAGAGTACTGTGTACTTTATCCATCACAGAATTGACAACAGTGCTCCACTATTAGGCCTTGTATTATACTCAGTGCACAATTTCATTTAATAATCAAGCATCCTAATTAGATTATGCAGATGAAGCATGCATTTTAATATTAATATTATGAAATTAAAATAATTGACACTCAGCTGTACAGTTTAATTTCTTAAGTGCCAATGATTTCAGTCAGGAATAAGCAAATTTAGTTGTACCTTGTTAGCGTTATATGTGATCCATAGAATTTCACATGTACAATGTATACCTCTTTCTAATTCATTGTTTTCTGTGCAACTATTAATAAATTTGTAAATCAATGTGTATTTTTTCTGTAGCTGTAAAGAAAAGTGTAAACTTCAGAAGTTCTGCTTTATAGTATAAACTACAGTGTTTGTTTGTGGCTTTAGCATCTTCTCTAGTCCTTTTCTCATTCTGTGTTGAAAATGCCAGTGAAGAAGAAAACGGAATTGTTTATTTGTTCAGTATCTGAAAAGTACAGTAATCTGTTTTCTGCCTTTTTTTTCTTTTGGGGATTGGCTATTCATGATGCAGAACAATAGTAATGCCTATTGCTCATGAGTTTGCTCCAGATATTGTACTGGTGTCATCAGGTTTTGATGCAGTAGAAGGTCATCCTGCACCCCTTGGGGGATATAATCTATCGGCAAAATGTAAGTTCTTCCAGATTATTAACTTTCACAGATATTTGTTTCTATATTTACATTTAGGGTCTTTCAGCTTCAAATTTAGCAATCACTATTCTCATTTCACTCTTTATGGAATTTGAACGATACCAGGGAAGACAAAAATAGTACTGGTAGTCCTTATTTGGCAACCACAATTGAGACTGGTAGTTCTTTTGTAAAGTGAAGTGGTTGGTAAGTGGGATTGTGACTGTGCTTTCCATTTCCCCACTCCCCCACTCTTTGGAATGCTCACTTCACCCTAGGATAATTCTTAAAAAGGAAATTGGAGAGGAAGGGGTTATAAGAAAGTAGGGGTTAGAACATATAGCTTCAAAATAACACAGTAGAAAAGGGGTAGGAAGGGGAGAAAAAGTTGGATTGAACAGTCAGGATGCAGATGTAGATAGAGTTAAAGATCCAAGAGAAGAATATGGGAGGCAAGTTAAAAAAAAGAATAAGACTTAAGGTCTTATTGAGGTCAAGAGGTCAAGAGACAATGGATAGGAAAAAAAGGGGGGAGAACATATTTTAACAAAAACATATTTTAACAAAAACATGTATTAACATTAGAATTATATAGACTGGATAATTATATTGTATGTATTGTGATAGGCACTAGGATAATACAGTATTTTAATACAAATAGATATGAAGAGTGAAATATGGGAATTATGAATAAGAACTGAGCATTAATTGGAAAATTAGAGAATGAATGATTATATTATTAACATGCCTAAGTAATATAATGATTAGCAGTGAAATAATAAAATTAAACAATGAGAAATTAGATAATGAAATAATATATTTTAATATAAGCATGTGTATTAATAGTAGAATTATATGGATTGGATGAATGGAAGGAATATGAATAGATCTACCCTATATGTTTAAATGATATTGTGATTGATATTAGAATTGTATATTGAAACATCGAACAATGAAAGAATGAAGGATGGACTTCCGGTGGCAGATGGAAATAAAAAGGAAAGATCAGGAAAGCTTAGAAAAGGGAAATCTAGCTAAAACCAAGAGAAATGACAAGGCCAAGATATTTAGAGATAAGGGTTAGATATGATATAAAAGGGGGATGCCACAAAGGAATGTATTTGGGTATTTTTTTAATTAGAAACTTAAAATGGGGAGATTTGAAATTCAAAATTTATTGGAAATTACCCTAAGAGTATTATATAACTATATATGAGAAAAGTGATGAACTAAGAGATGTTAAGAGGGTTTTATTATTATTAATCCATATATATATATAAAACTAGGGGAATGAAATTTTATTTAAATTACAGGGGTAAAATTTGGCTATGTGGAAATAAAGAAAAAATATGAAATGAATAGTGTTGGAATAAATATATTGTAGATTGAGGAATATACCATGTGGATCCTAAATATATTAATTTTACTTTAATCTTGCTTTTTTGTGTGTTTACTACATATTGGTCTTGAGTTAATTAATGAAGATAATAATGCATAAGGTAAAATAAAATAGGTGGTAAGCTGAAAATGGAAATAATAGGGATAAAGAATTGAAAATATATGTGAGGAAATGATTTTGATATTGAATTAATGAATTGAAATATGAAATGGAAATTTATTTGAAGATTAGTGGAGTGGATAATAATTTGATGTGTTATAAAGTAAGAAAGTTAAAAATGTTAGTATGACTATGTATAAATGTTGTAATCTGGGATCACGTTGCTCATGTGAAGAGATATGTAAAAAAATAAAAAACTTTTATTAAATTTTAAAAAATGATCGATAAAACTTTAACATATATAGATGTGAAGAGTTAAACAAGGGAAATATGAATAATAAAGCAGATGAAAGATGGAAAACAGAAAAGAAACATCTTTGACATGAAGTGACATGAAGAAATAGAAATAAGAGGGGGAACAACAATATACATATTTTAATATAGCAAGATATATGTAATAATAAGAGGGAAATTTAGAAATTGAATGGCGGTAGTATCAGATGTGTGTAAACAATATGAAACAATGAAAATGAAATGTAATAACTATGAGTAATGATATCAAGTTTATTTGTACTAAAATGTATGGTACCCAGGTATCATACTGTTCATGCATTGATATGTATAAGCAATATAAAATAAAAAAACTTGACCAAAAAATAAAAAGAAAATGGAGACAACGATTTGAAATATTTCTGGTTTTTGAGATGAATTTTTTTAGTTGCTTATTCTTATTCTGCACCTTATTCTTTTTTGCTTTTTCTCAGGCTTTGGATACCTCACCAAACAGCTTATGGGGCTGGCTGGAGGACGAATCATTCTGGCTCTTGAAGGAGGTCATGACCTAACAGCCATTTGTGATGCATCTGAAGCATGTGTCTCTGCCTTGCTAGGAAATGAGGTAGAAGTAAAAATACAATTTATGCTTTCATTAATTAACATTTTATTTTTAAATCTATCATGATCTAGGTATCTTTCTTCATTATGGTCTCTTTGAAATTACAAGAATTTTGCACCAAAAAAGAAGTTCCAAAGCAAATTAATGTGATGAGAGTCCTCTTGGGAAAGTAGTCTCTAAATAGATGCAGCTTCAGTTTTTTCTCTTAGTTCATTTTCCTTCACCATACTATGAGTATATTGGCATTTATTTTTCAGAACCCGACAGTCCAGGTTCTGAGGGCTTATTCTCACATTACTTTTTTCCATTTAACATTCCTTCTTTCATGCTGTTTTCCACTGCTTCATTTCTCCCATATTGTGAGAAACACTATGGGCCCCAAATGATTCATTTAGGAAGTGCTAGAGAAAAAGTAGGAAAGTATCACTACTGCATACAACTGTTTGTATCTCTTTGGACAAAAGAGGTATTTTTGATAGCCATCACAACTTACGTTTTAACAAATAAGACAAGAGAAACCAGTCTTCCAGATTTTGCTGGGAAATGAATAGAAAATGTTCGGTCCATACCTCAAATGGCACCTTGCTCCATTCAAGGAAGTGCTTCCATGTTACGAGCTCCCAGCGCATAGCATAAGTGTCCTTCTCCCAAGCTGCTCATCTATGCTAAGTCCCTGACAGTTTTCTAGAGAGGTGTAGGCGCACACCTGCAAATTCCCTTGTTTGTTCCACTGTAAGATTATACACCCCCCCCCCTCAGCCCACAACACTAGCATCTGCCTGGATGACAAGTGGGATCTGGGTATTTTAGGACAGGTTTGGCTGCAAACAAGTGTTTAAGCTTTTATATATAGAGAATAGTTTAACATTTTATTGGGTTATAAAATAAGATACAAAATACAGAAGTAAATAGGAAAACACTGGGGAGGAAGAGGAGGAAGAAAAGTGAGGGAGGATAAGAGAAAAAGAAAAACATTGACTTTCGACTCTCTATTGCAGTAAAATAAGGCATTAGCATCAAATCACAACTTTTCATAACAAAAAGCACAAAGTTCAGAAGCGGTCTCCATGTGGAAATAAAAGTACTTGCATTCTATTTAGTCAATTTTGCAATTTCAGCCAACTCCATCAATTTCTGTGGCCATTCGTCCATTTTAGGAATTGAAGTGTCCTTCCATCTTTGTGCATACAATAGCCTTGTGCTGTCAACATATATAGTAGTAAAGTAGTAAAGTTCCATATTTTTTCTCCAGGTCTTTTTCCATTAGACCCAAAAGGAAAAGTTCTGGTTTTTATCTTTATCTCCATCTTCAAAAAAAATTGTATTAAAATATGAATCATATTCCAATTTTTTTTTTGCTTTATCACATACTGTAAGTATTCAATAATAATTAAGACAGTCCTCACGTTATTTAGCAGCAGGATTGTCTTGTGGCAAGATGGGCAGATAATAAATTTAATAAATTAAATAAGAAATAAGACTGCAAAAAAAAAAAAAAACAGTCTGGTAGCAGCACAAGATAGCTCAGTCAGCAAACTTTGCTATTGTATTATCTGCTGACATATACAGTATTAGCTTCATTAATACTCTTTGATAGCATTACATTAGAGTGTGAGATTGGAAATCAAGAATCAAGTGAAAGAACTGGAAATCACAAGGAATAGTTAAAACCCTTAGGAAGATTTGGCTTGCAGAAGAGAAGGTTGAATGATAGCTGAATACCTGAAGAGCAGTCACATTGTAGAGGGTTTGAATTTATTCTCCCTTGCTCTAGGAAATAAAACTGGAACAAATTAAACTTCCAGGATGTAGATACAGATTAGATGTTTGGAAGAACTTCTTGACAGTAAGATCTATCAATCATGTTACAGATTATTGTATAGTATAATTTCTTCCCTTCACTGATGATTTTCAGAGGCTAGATAGTCATTGGTCAGGGATGGTGCCTGCACCTACATCATTTCCACGTCTGTGATTCTACTATACAGTGCAACGATTGGAAGCGTCATGGCCAAAGAAACAAGAATGACACATGGAGTTACTTTGAATGGTTTCTTTATTATTGTTCATCTATAGACAGAATCTTGCCAGACCAAAGCAATTATCTACATACCTATAGATATACTCTAGGGGTGTCTGTCTTTGCCTTTTTCCTATTTACCAGACATTTCAGACTCTTCTGTTTTTAGCCCTCTGGGTAGGACAACTTCCCTCTTGCAACTCCGGATTACATTCCATCACGGGAAGGGTTCTTGGGAATTATGTAAACCCAATATCCTATACAGTGTATATTTGCTATATTCACTGCTATAGCAAATATATTCAATTAAGTTTCATCCTGAAGACTGGTTGCTTCATTCCCCATTGTGGACAAAAATCCTCTCTTCTAAAAGCACTATCTCCAATCTATGATCTCTTCTTGTTTTCATCATTGCTTAGCACCTGCCTTACAAGTGAAGAATCTTTTATTTTTGTTATCTCAGAGTTCTTCCCGCTGACTAAAAGCCAGATTAAAACAGAAACTCCAACCCAGAGAAACCCATATTGGAAATGAAGAAATTATACAGTGACTAGGAACTAATCAAAGCTAGATGCAATGTAGATCTACTTGATTGACTGTGGGTTGAACTGTGTGTATGTGAGATACACAGAGAGATGCCTGTGAGAGCAAAAGACTGAAAACATCCTCTTCATAAGCAATATTAATTTCTTTTATTCTTCCTCTTTTTCTCTTTCACTTTCTCTTATTAACCAGTTCTTGATTCATTTGGAAATATAATGAATCAGTGGCAGCGCAGACACCATTTTAAGTATTTGTGCATATTATATATCTAGTGAGGATATAAAATCATAGCAAATTGATCATGGTGGGGATTAGGCTGTATACAAATTCATTTTAGAACAGCTATTTAATGACTACTGACTGTTCTGCAACATAGATCAGCAATCTTTCTAAATGTCTATCTATATCATCTATCAATCATCTATGTATCTATCTTCTATCTTATTTCATTCTTCAACATAGTGTCTAAATTAGTAGACCAGTGAAATACTGTGGACATAATATACCTAGACTTCAGCAAGGCATTCGACAAAGTAGACCATAACCTACTTCTTGGTAAGCTAAAAAAAAGTGGGATAGATAGCATCACCACCAGATGGATTTGTAACTGGCTGACAAACCATACTCAACGAGTAGTCCTTAGTGGGTCTATGTCTACATGGAGGGAAGTAAGCAATGCGGTACAATAAGGTTCCATCTCAAGCCCAGTACTCTTCAATATCTTCATAAACAACTTAGATGAGGGAATAGAAGGGGAATTTACCAAATTTGCAGATGATACTAAGCTGGCAGGAATAATTAACAACCTAGAAGATAAGCTCAAGGTCCAAATGGATCTATACTGGGCCCTATCTAACAAAATGAAATTTAATGTAGAAAAAAGTAAACTCTTACACTTAGGCAAGAAAAACCAATAGTACACATAGACTGGGTGAAACCAAGCCAATGTAATCCTAAACTGCATTAACAGAGGGATACAATCAAGATCAAGTAAGGTACTAATACTTATCTCAGTAAGTAAAGACTTTATAAAGATAAAGCCTTAGTAAGACCACACCTAGAATAGTGCATCCAGATTTGGTCACCACACTATAAAAAAGATGTTGACATTCTAGAAAAAGTGCAGAGAAGAGCAACCATGATTAGGGGACTGGAGACTAAAACATACGACAAAATAGTTGCAGGAACTGGGCATGGCTAGTCTAGTGAAGAGAAGTACCAGGAGAGATATGATAGCAGTGTCCCAATATCTGAGGTGCTGCCACAGAGAAAAAGGGGTCAAGCTATTTTCCAAAGCACCTGAAGGCCAGACAAGAAATAATGTATGGAAACTGATCAAGGAGAGATTCAACCTAGAAATTAGGATAAATTTTCTGACAGTGAGAACAATCAACCAGTGGAACAGCTTGCCTTCAGAAGTTGTGGGAGCGTCATCACTGGAGGCTTTCAAGAAGAGATTGGACTGCCATTTGTCAAAATGGTGAGGGGTCTCCTGCTTGGGTGGGGTGTGTGGACTAGATCAGCGTTCGCCAACTGGTGGGCCGTGAGAAAATTTTGGTGGGTCGCAGAGAAATCTCACCCCCAGAGCACCCCCCAAGGCAATTAATCCAGACTGCTCAGGAACACAAGGCTGTACTGCCCACATGGCCCGTGGGAACCCTCCTAACCCACTCACTCCTTACCCGGCAAACTTTCCTGCTAAATTACTATTTTTTTCTTTTTCCGACCATCATCTGTTCTGCTCTGCCGGGAGATTTAGATTAGCTAGGAAGCAGGAAATAGTTGGATTTCTTGCTTTCTAGCTAGTCTTTAGATCTTTGGCTCTGCTTTTAAGTACAACCAAACCTCCCTTAGGACTGAAGGTTTGTTTGCAAGCAAATTCTGTGCAGACTCACAGCAAGCAAATTTGAGAGACTGAGCTAGCTGATGGCAGATAGATAGATCACTGAATGATTCTGTGAGCAACTCAATCTGCCTGCTTTGCCTGATTTTGGGTAAAAGTTGCTCTTTTTTATAAAAAAAATATATCAATATTTACATACATGGTGTGTTGTGAGTTAATTTTGTGAATTTGCTTGCAAGCAAATTTTATGTGACAGACTGAGCTAGCCAATGGCAGATAGATAGATTTCTGAATGAATCTGTGATACTATGAGCAACTCAATCTGCCTGCCTGCTTTGCCTGATTTTGGGTAAAAGTTGCTCTATTTTTTTATAAAAGATCAATATTTATATAAATATTTATAATATTTATATACAAGCCATGCCCAGCCAGTCACATGACCACTAAGCCACACCCACAAATTAGGCCACACCCACAGAAACAGTTGGTGGTCCCTGGGATTTAAAATTATGAGTTTGGTGGTCCCCGAGGTCCAAAAGGTTGGCGACCCCTGGACTAGATGACCTACAAGGTCCCTTCCAACTCTGTTAATCTGTATCTACCTATCTATCTCATCACATTTAGAAATTGGCCATCTCCCTCACAGAATTAGGGAGAAAATTAGTTTTTCTGAATCTAAATTACAGTAACTACATCTCTGATTCTCTTCTAGACACTCCATGAAAGTGTTTTATTAAGAAAATAGTTTCAGATTTTTTTTCTTGTTTTCTAAGAGCTGAATTGTTATATTTTGGTATATAGTACAGTTGTTGAACCCTAGGATTGTGCACACTTCAGCACGCATGTGCGCAGTGTGCACATGTCTGTACTATTCATTAATGCAGCTCTTTTAAAAGGTTCTGTGTGAGTCTGAAGAAAAGTTTCAGATGCTTTAAGAATCAAATCAATTCACAAACCATTTTACTGATTCATTTTTAAAACTTGACATTTCATCATGTATGTCAATGTGGACTAAATTAGTGGACAAGCAAAATGCTGTGGACATAGTGTACTTGGATTTCAGTAAGGCATTTGACAAAATAGACTACAATCTATGTCTTAATAAGTTAGAAAAATGTGGAATAGACATCATCACCACCAGATGGATTTGTAACTGGCTGACACACCCCACTCAACATATAGTCCTTAATGGAACTATATCTACATGGAAGGAAGGAAGCAGTGGGATACCCCAAGTTTCTGTTTTAGGCCGAGTACTCTTCAATATGAGAATCAGAATAGAGCTGGAAGGGACCTTGGAGGTCTTCTAGTCCAGTCCCCTGCTCAAGAAGGAGACCCTATACCATTTCAGACATTCAGTCTCTTCTTAAAAACCTCCAGAGATGAAGCGCCCACAGTTTCTGAAGGCAAACTGTTCCACTGGTTAATTGTCCTCAATATGAGGAAGTTTCCTTCTTAATTCCAAATTGCTTCTCTCCTTGATTAATTTCCATTCATTGTTACTTGTCCTGCTCTTTGTTGCATATCTTCATAAACAATTTAGATGAGGGAATAGAAACTAAAACACGTGAAGTACAGTTGCAGGGATAGGGTATATCTAGTCTAGTGAAAATAAGGACTGAGATAGCAGTGTTCCAATATTTGAAGGGCTTTATATGCTAAGTGTTTTGGTGCAGAATGCAATGCAGATGGGGAAGGTTATGTGCAAAGAGTCTGTGGGAAATTACTCCACTTTTCTAGTTTCTTATAAAAGTAGATAAATCTATTTAAAATAATTATCTAAATGTTTTAAATTTTCTTAGCTACATCTCTGATAGCTGCATGATGAAATCATACATTATTTAGATTCCATTCATTTCTGCCTTGCACTACAATGTTGAAAATATTTTTATAACAGAAAGAGGAGATTATCACAAATGGCAGTTGGATATAATTTCAAAGGATGTCAAATCACATATTTTTTTACTTAAAGAAATCTAAACTGTTCAATACATATGTTCATTATTTATTTTTAAAATGATATTCTAAATTGTATTTTTTATTATCTCAGCTTGATCCTATTCCTGAAAAAATATTACAGCAGACAGCAAATGTTAATGCAGTGCATTCCATTGAGAAGGTCATTGAAATACACAGTGAGTACTTAAAAACAGTAGTATTCCTTCTACAGTTAGACCAAGTCTTTATAAACTTCAAAATGCTGCAGGATATTCATTTAACCTTTTGTTTTCACCTCCCCACCAAAACAAAACACTTTGTCCAACCTCTGCTTGAATACTTCCAGCAAAAATGCACTCAAGTAGCCACTCTGCCAATCTATTTTTACTTTTAATCTTTTCTTACCTCAGCTGGATCATGCCTTTCTTTGTTTTTGATTAGTGTCCACTCTCTGACATGATAAAGAATAGATCTTGGCCTCTGCGACCACAAAGTCAAACGTCTGAAAACTGAAATCAGTTTTCTTCTTTCAAACCTACATTGATTTCATATGTAGCTTGCGACGCAACTAAAAAATTCGTTTAATGTATATTTCTGCCAAGCCTCGTAGCGTACTTCTCATTTGTTTTATTTTTCCTTTTCTCGTTTCTTTGTTCTGGTTTAATTCTGTTATTCGTTCTATTGGGCAGAGTAGTGGCTCAGTGGTTAAGATGCTGGACTTGTTGCCTGGAAAGTTGACAGCCCAGGTTTGAGACCTAGCTCCTGCCAATCCAGCAGTTTCAAAGCATGCAAATGCGAGTAGATAAAAAGGTACCACTTCAATTCCCACAATACCCCTAGGTAACAGTGGTCAGCGATATCATGCTGGCCACATAACTGCAGAAATGTCTTTGAACAGTGCTGGCTCAATGGCCTTGAAATGGAGATGAGTACTGCCCCCTATAGTTGGCAACGACTAGCGGAATAAAATCCACAGGGACTCCTTAAAAGGACCTTTATTCATTCTATTATTTTGTCAATATTTGTAAAACTTAACAAGTTCATCTTGAATTTTAGTTAATGTCTTCTAAGTATCTTCTGCCCTAGGGAGCTTAATCTTTAATGAAATGTTGCAGAGGACCAAACCCCGTGGTGGTCTATCTGATAAAGAACTAAGACTTTCATTTGAGTATGATTTTCACGACAAGTTATGTTTCTATTTAACTACCGGTACTCAGTTTTTACTATTCTTAATCAGGCTGCCATGGGGCACTTTATTCACTGCTTTGTTGAAAACAAGATATAATACACATGTCCTCAACTTACAAGTTACCTAGTCCTCAACTTACAACCATTCACTCCTTTCAAGTTATGGCACCGAATTTTTTTTTTATGATTGTTTCTCACACTTGCAATTGTTGCAATATCCCCATGGTTACATGATCAAAATTTGGATGCTTAGCAAATGGAGCTGCAGTGAAATAGGGAAATATATTATTACTTTGTTTACATATATTTTGTAAAGCGTCTTAGAAAAATCTCCCAGATTTGTTTTATTTTGCAGCTTGATTATGCTTTTCTTTTGTTTAATAGAAAAATGATAGATTCTATAATGTTTTTAATTTTCCTTTAGGTAAATATTGGCATTCGCTCCAACATTATTCTTCAACAGTCAGTTATTCTTTGATAGATGCACAGAAGTGTGATAATGAAGAAGCAGAAACCGTAACAGCAATGGCATCTTTGTCAGTTGGAGTTAAACCACTTCCTGAGAAAAAGTAAGTTTTATTCTTTATCTTTTTGGAGGTGGGGATTTTTTTGAATCAGTGCTGACTGCTGGTGGCTAGTCCCTACAGTTTTCTTGAAAAGATTTTGATTAGTTATTGAGTGATTAGTCCACCATCAAAAGCAAAAACACTGAAAAATTTTCAAAGTTCACCCTGTGAGAGTTTGGAAATATTTGGAGAGTTTGAGATGAATAGGTGATAGCAACAGTATTTTGCAGGAATAGCTAACACCCAAAAAGATAGGCTCAAGATCCAGATGGATCTTGACAGCCTAGAACACTGGGCCGTATCTAACAAAATGAAATTTAATGTAAAGAAAAGTAAAGTCCTACACTTAGGCAAGAAAAACCAAAAGTACATATATAGACTGGGTGAAACCACGCTCAATAGCAGTAACTGTGAGAGGGATTTTGGAGTCTTAGTGGACAAGCAGCTAAATATGAGCCAGCAGTGTGCAGCAGCAGCCAAAAAAGCTAATGCAATCCTAAGTTGCATTAACAGAGGGATACAATTGAGATCAAGTGAGGTACTAATACCACTCTATAAAGCCTTAGTAAGACCACACCTAGAGTACTGCATCCAGTTTTCTTCACCACATTATAAAAAAGATGTTGAGACTCTAGAAAAAGTAGAGAAAAGAACAACCAGGATGATTAGGGGGCTGGAGACTAAAACATATGAAGAACGGTTACAGGAACTGGGCTTGGCTGGTCTAGTGAAGAAAAGGACCAGGGGAGACATGATAGCAGTCTTCCAATATTTGAGAGACTGCCACAGAGAAGAAGGGGTCAAGCTATTTTCTAAAGCCGCCTATAGGCCAGACAAGGAATAATGGATGGAAACTGAACAAGGAAACCTGGAAATAAAGAGAAACTTTCTGACAATGAGAACAATCAACTAATGGAACAGCTTGCTCTTGGAAGTTGTGGGAGCATCATCACTTGAGACTTTCAAGAAGAGATTGGACTGCCATTTGTCAGAAATGGTGTAGAGTTTCCCGCTTGGGCAGGGGTTGGGCTAGATGACCTATAAGGTCCCTTCCAACTCTGATTATCTGTTATCTGTTAAGTCACTGTTGAAAATCACTCCACTTCCAGTTTTGCTAAATCAAAGAGTATTCCCTTATTAAAAAGTACACCAAATTAATAAAATGCATTGTCAATGGCACTAATTGGGCCTCAGATTTAATTCATTAGCTTGAAGAAGGACAAATTTAGGGCTGCAAATAACAGAACAAAAAGTAGTAAAGGTTTACAATTAAAAATCTAAGAAGATAAATTAAAAAAAATGAAAAATCTACGGAAGGGTTTGGAACAGGAAGTAGTCTTATAACCCTTTGTCAAACTTACCAAGGCACTGAAAAAAGTGACTTATGACTGTTTTTCACATGACATTGCAGTATCCTTGTGGTCCCATGGTCAAAATTCTGAGGCATGGCAAGTGGCACATATTTATTATGGTTGCAGTGTCCTGGAGTCATGTGATCACCTTTTGCAACTTTCTGACAAGCAAAGTCAAAGGAGGGAACCACATTTACTGAACAACCATTCTGAGAGCTAGTTTAGTCTAAGACAGTGGAAAACTACCATGTTTCTCATATAATAAGGCCGGGTCTTTTTTTTTTTTTTTTTGAGCCCCGAAAAAATGGCTAGGCCATCTTTTCGGGGGTGACTTAATTCCCCCCCTTGCATCCTCAGGCGGGCGGGCAGCAATGGCTTGGATGTTGACCTCGGCATTGGTGGGGCACTTCATATCGGGGTCAACGCAGGCAGCACCATATCCGGGTGTGCAATAAAAGTACTTCCTAACGGCAAGACCCCCACCATTCTCCCCCATTTCGCATGTTTTAATATAGGCCTTAATTTGGGGGGAGGGGCTTAATTTCATTTCATGCCTATAAAACATGCTGGGACTTCCTATTGGGGGAGGCCATATTGTTGGAGAAACAGGGTATGAGTTCTAGTCCCACCTTAGACAGGACTCCCACTATTCCCTTAGCACCTTTAGCCACCTTAGCAGCAGCATTGGAGAGTTTTCTCCAATTTCTTTTTTTCCCCAGTAGCCTATTTTTTTACTTACCTTCATTAATATAGTTTCTCTTTTGTTTTTTTCCTTTTCCTTGCAAAAAGAAGGGCAAGTGGTACATCCATAAGTCTGCATTTCTTTTTCTTTTATTTTTATGAGTGGGCAATTATTCAACCACAGCCACTCTCCCTCTACAAATGCCTGGCTTGGTCTGATATTTCTGTTGATCATTATTTCTGTTGATCATTATGTGTTCTGAGGAAACTGGGGGGAAAGGGCACGAGTTGTACTTTCTACTCAAACGGTTCAGCTCCAAAAGATTCTTAAAAGGAGCTGAAGGCACAGGTCACCAAGTATAAGAACTTGTAAGCGAATGATAGCGTAAACAATCCATTCTTTTAAAGTGATTGTTCAGAATTTGGAATTCCAAATAGGAAGCAATTTGTCTTAACAAAGTTCTGAGATCCAGACTCAGAACTTAATAACTATTAGGATTGTGTGTATTGTATTAAGTAGCCCATCAAAATAATATTGCTTTGCATGCTTATTAACAACTACAGCACCATCAATTAATAAACATATTTATCTAATTCTGGGCCATGCAGTTCTATTCTTCTGACTCCTCTTAATGAATTACTTACAGGCTAGATGAGGAGCCTATGGAAGAGGATCCTCTTCTGTAGCATACTCCTGGTTTGAAATGCTCCAGTGAAATTCATCTTGTCTTTGAAGGCCTGCCAAGAAGCTTTCTCTTGTTATACCTGCATCCTGCCCTGATTTTCTTCCAGAAAGGCAGCCATGTTGAAAAACAGCCTAATTACTCCGTATTGTAATTGTATGGATTATGCTCATGGAAAAAAAAATGCAGGTGAAGAACAGCAATATGAATTACAGACACACTGAGTGATCTTCCTTTTTTCCTCAATGGAAGCTATAAGAGGCAAGATACCAGGGAAGTATCTAGTTGTCAGTTTTTGCTGTTGTTTCAAAATCAAAGAGTTAACATGTATGTGACAATTTTCATTTAAAACTGGTGCTTAACATTTAATTACATTAAGACTACTCAAAGTAAATTCTACTTTTGTTTCAGTATTTTTGTGATTCTTGCGTACTTGTGAATAAGAGTTCTTCAAAACTCAGACCCTGAGGAGGGTTGTTTTTCTTCTTGTGAAGGGTAAAAAGAAAACTAAGCTTTTATATATTCATTCAAACTATATAAATGTGAAGAGGGAGAAAGATAGCCAGAAAAGGGATTGGCTTTGGCATTGCCAGAGCCATTGGAAGAGTTTGTGCCTTTTAAAATAATAGACTGATTTGGGCAGCTGTTTTTTCCTGACATTTTTTGAGTAATTATGCCTTAAAGAAAAGAACTTTGCAGCAGTTCCTCTGGCAGAGAAAGCCAAGAATTGCATTCTGTAAGAAAGATTCTAGGATTTCTGCTAGCACGATTATTTAAAGCAAGCAAAGGCCAGAGCTTCTCCCAAACAGTCTACAACCTTATTTTGATTTTTCTTTCCTTGCTGTTTAATTTTTTTAAAAATTAAGGTAGTTGCCAGTAATATGGCAAATGCTGTTGGGTTTCTTAAGTTCATTGATTTTTAAAAAATCCAACATCTTCTTCTATACATTATGTATAACAAATTATCAATTTGGTTGTAAAGGCATGCACAAATACAATTGCAATTTTTTTAAAAAATGGAATGCTTTTTATTAAAAGCAGATTGCATGGGATATTGCTTAATTTTTTAGGTATAAATATTTATGTACGCTGTATAATGAATAATATAAATATATTCCAAACTTAGGAAAATGACTCTTACAAATTATTAATTAAATATTTATAATGCATTTATATTAACTATATGAATAAGTGGCAACCATTGGAAACTCCTTCCAAAGGATTTGTGGATTGAAAGGTTAAGATCTAGTTAAAATGCCCATTTTCAAAGTGCAGTTTGGAACATTAAAATGCCTAACATTTTAGCCACTGGGCAACTACCCAACATATTGTTATTTAACTTTTAAGTTCTTCAATGTTGGCCCTCTTTTAACAAACAAAGTATTTCTGGCAAATATTTGTTTGCTACTGCTTTATTTTCACATTAGTTTTTCAGATAAGGGCCAATTATTTGCATTGATTTTCATGTTTGGTTTTCATTTGAGAACTCTGTTTCCAGACATTATTTCCTGGACTTACATAATTTCTCCTTGGACACTGAAGTTTGCATATTTCCAGATTTTTGTACAGAAAACACTTTTCCTAATCTTGTGCATGTTGCAAACTGATATGTATTATTTTCAGCATATTCTTTTCTCAAAAGGAAGGATTTCACAGTCATTTTTAAGATCACAAATTGATTGTATAATTTCTCAGTTATTCAGTTGTAGTTGTTATGCTACCTAAAGAAAATGATAAACTTTCATCTCTTAAAAGCTGATTAGTATTATAAAGAATAATGTATATTTTCAATGGCAAGGATTATTAAAGGCATTAATTTAAATAAGTTGAAAGATTGCAATATTCTGTTGGTACAATTAATACTGAGCAAATACACATTACTGTGCTTAAATAATCCCTTTAAAGAATACTTCAAAATAAATTAATAATAATAAGGTTTTTTGAGAGTATGTTAATCTTCACCATAATCTCTTCTACATTGTTTTTAAATGAGAGAAGTTGGCCCTCTTGGTGCAGCTGCTTAAATTTTTAGCAGGGAAATTATAAGAGATTATTTTTTTTCTAAAGAAACTTTTTTTGTTATATTAACTGACAGAGTCAATTTATAATTATGTAGTTTTGAAAAGCTTTTTTTTTTCTTTCATTCCATTATGACTGGAGTTGTGAGAATGTAAACATAAATTTCAATGAGTACAGAAGAGCTTTAAGAGTTTATTTAATGCAAAAGTTAATATGCAATTTTTAAAGCAGACACTACAATATTAATGTTCATGCTAACCCAAATATGGTTTCTTTTTGGCATTAGAACTTCCAAGAGCATACTCTAAGAGTAAAGATTGATGATAAAGATAAAATGTATATTTTATAAAATGCTTTGCTGCTGTGCTCTAAAAAGATTTTTGTGTGAAATTACTTGGTTTTGTATTTTGTTAGTTTACTTTGTTATTATAATTGATAAAAAGTGTTGATTTCTGTGATCACTACAATTTCAAATCTATTTTATATTTGAACATCAAAATGGTCAAAAATTATTTTTGTCACAAAAAATATTAGTCTGCATCAATAGTGTTAATATGGTTGGTTTTAATGTTACTTTTAAGAGTATTCATTTGTTACTTTCAAATTGCTACATCTTTGGGAGTGAAAATCTTTTCTGAAGTCAGAAAGAATTTTGGTATATGTCATTTGCCCTATAATTTATTAATTTCTGTTTAAAATAGATATCCCCTAATCACTGTAAGCCTGAAACTGGATTTATTCTGCAGTTATTCTAGGAGAGAAAAGATATGCATGTTGGGAAGATTGAAATAATTTTAATTAATAAAAGCATACATAAGGAAGGCTTCTGGGCTCTGTGAATAAACAAAAAGCTCAGTCTAGACTATGTATCTTCAATTACAGTTTTTTATATTCTATAAGGAAAAGGTACCTGAGTTCCACCAGCAGGATTCCGTATGTTTTTTGATTAACCCAGTTTTGAAGGTAAAGAGTGATTTCCTAAAATTCTGTTACAAAATAGGAGCATGTTCAAAGAGAATTATCTACAAGTGAGTTTCACAGTGTAATAGAATAGATCATAATTATTTTACATTCAGTACATACGAACATTCCTTTTTATTAATCATGTCAACTCATTCCAGTTTTCCTTTTATAAAATTTTGGGCCCACATTTTTTGGGCATTGATTAAATATATGAATATATATTTTTTAAGTTTCCTATACTTTGAGGTTGCATGGTCTACTAGGTTGGCATGTCTTTATATTGTAAACAGATTTTGCACGCCACCCTTGGCAGCTATGGGATAAAGCTTTCTGAATGGTATTAGCAAGATATACAAGTTGGGTAGCTTTGTGTCACACAAAAATAAGAGGCATGGAAAAGGGAAGCCTAATTAACACATCTGATTAAGGACCTATGGTTTTATCATAAAATTGAAAAATGACAAAGGACTACTTAAATTTTTGTCATTTTAAAGAAAATAATTGCATTTGTGACAAACCCATAATAGAATATATTGTATTTATGTGGAAATGTTCTAGGAAAATTTTGCTGAACACACAAGTACATTGCCTGTGTCAGGGTTTTTTAAGGGAGGGAGGAAAAAAGAATTCTGTTTTTGTTTGTAAGGGATAAGGAAGGTGCAAACCTATCCGAATTTCTGTTTATATTAAATGTCACATAAAATTGGAAATAACTTTAAGAGTTAACTCTTCAACTCAGCTGTACTACTTTTTACATTACTAGAAATTACATATAGAGATTTTGGCATTTTAAGCAGTGATATACTGTGCAAACACTGTGGATTCAAACAAAACTTTGCATCAGCACGAAATGAGGTTTCTTCATAGGGATAGTTGAGCTTGGTTTCCTCCCAGCTTCATATTGTATTTGAGATAATTAAAAAGAATGGGCCAGGGAAAATAATTTAACACTTGTGGTGCTTTACATTGCTGGCAACCCATACGTATGGGTTGAAAAACTATTAACCCAAGAATTTATTACAAATATGTAGTATGAAAAGTTGTAACATTATTATATTCTGCTTTATGCCTAAACATGCTCAATATATCATCATTGATAGCAGCTACCAGTTTACTCTGTAATTTATACAGAGTTTCATTCTTGATTGTATGAACCCTTTAAATTAGAGTAGCATATTCTTTGTACTTAAATTTTATTATGACTTTTTTCTTAGTAGATTTGAAATTTGGGTTATTTTTCCTATGTGTCTCTCATTCCTGTTTTTTGTTATATTGTCTTTTTTTTTTTAACCAGTAGTGTTTTTCTCTAACTATACCAACATCAATCTCAACTTTAATACAAGTTCAGTATTTTGTACCACATTATGACAACTTGTTATTATTGTGGTGTAAATAAAAAGATGAAATGAATTAAAAAATATCTGTATTGCGGTTAATAACAATTGTCTTCTCTTTTCCTTTGTTAATTCATTTGTGTATGTTTATGCTAAAATGTACTTTGAAAAACTGCCAAATTTTGAGTATGTCTTGCAAACAGATGGCCCCTGGCAGCAATTTCAATTGAAGACACTATGCAGCAGGTTCCATCTTTCTCTTCATCGTGGATATTTTTTCCTGATAAAAGGATGCAAAACATAGGAAGCTGGCATTGTATAAAATCACAATTGAAGAAGTACAGTGCAACAGTTACTTCTGGCTCACAGAAATAAAATGTCTTCAGAAAAATGTTTAGGTAGTCAAGTATCTAAGTTTAGTGAGGCTAAGTCCCTAGGAAATAATGGCTCTTGACTCAATTTGGTTGAAATGATAGGTTCATTTACTAAGAGTTAGTGGTTAGTGGTTGCAGCAAAAGCAAGGCAAGGTCTGAATATTCCCACCCAAAGATACAAAGATTTCACCTCCTTTGTGGCTCTACCCCCTGACATCAGTATCCAATGGCATCCCAGTTTGATGTTTTGGGCACCACTTTGAATGTAGGTGTGTCTTGGAGAGGTCCTTGAGGCAGTGGAATCTGGCTGCTTAGCACCTCTGGTTCCTGTCAGTATCCTCCCTCCACGCTTACACCCTTCTTCTCACCACTTGCATAACTTCCTCTTCCCCCTCCCTTTGCTTACGGTAGAGGATGCCAGCAAGATTAGCAATGCATAGTGAAGATAGCAGATCTGACACCTTATGGGAAACTTGCTTTCAGATTTTATGCCACCTGAAATCTCAGCACACATGTGCTGAACCCCCTAACATTTAACAAACAATATAGTTTTTTTCTAATTATACTTAACAGCCTGAAAACCTGAATTGCATCATCAGTTGTTAAATGTGCATAGTGCATAGCACAACCTATTACATATGCCTTTTATATAGCAACATGTAAAAACAATGGTAACTTTATAGCAAAGATTAAAAACAATAAACCAGAAGAGAAGTTGACAAATACTATTTTTAAACTTTGCCAGATCCTGCTTTGGGTCACTTTAGAAGTAAATCTGGATGCATCCGCTGTGCAATGCATGCAGCTATAAATGAGACAGGACCCCCCCCCCCAAAGAAATGCTACATTCCTTATTTTGTTCCCCACCTACCCATCTTCCCTCACGTTGCTGATTCAAAACAGATTAAAATCTGTTTGAAATTATTTATGCAGAGACTCATTGTTTGTGATGGGTCTGAAATATTACTCCAAAATATTTTAATTCAAGACTAAAATATGGTGCTGGTGGGGTATTATTTTTTGAAAAGAGATTCTAAGCAAGGTATCACCTTGCTGATCAGACACTCATAATTATGGTTTGTTAAATTTCTGTCAGACTTGTCTATGAATAATCTGTTTGCCAGCCTACGGGTCTGCAATACTGGACTGCATTTACATAACATGAAACAATAGTTCTAGTGTGATGTCCTGATGTGACTGTATTTAGGATACTCTGTCCAGTTCTGGACATTGCATTTTAAAAGGAGCATGGAGAAGCTGGAATTGAAATATTCCAAAAGCCACTATCTGCTTCACAAAACTACAGTGCTGCTTCCATCACTTTGCTCTCTTACCCCACTTCAGAAGTTACTCAGAAATAAGTTTAAAAACAAAGCAAATAAAACAACATATCCTAGAACTACAGCTAAAGAATAGTTGGAGCAGAATCTCTGCTCCAGAAATTGTAATGATGGCCTTTGGAACAGGCCTTTATCTACCCCTAAGTATTTTTGCTGTTCCTCACAGACCTTTTCCTTAGCCATATTTCATATCTTCCCACCAAGGACTCTGTCCATGCTTAACTCTGGGGGCTTGCAGTCATAAAAAGCTATGTATAGCCTTTTACATTATACATTAAATACACATTAAAGCATAAATAAATTATAACCTACTATTAAAATCTATTTACACTTGGGGGTGGCAGGGGCAGAATGGGAGCATAGGATCTGTTGTTAATAGATCAACCACCTCCAATGTGCATTCCTCCACTGGCAACCAATCAACTGGCAGAGCCAGATCTTCAGGCCTTAAGAAAGGATGGGAGGGCTGGGGCGAATCTCGCATGGTGTGTGTGTGTGTGGCAAGATGTTCCAGAGGGCAGGTGCAGAGAAGGCCCTTCTGAACCTCGCCAGCCAGAATAATCAGATGATTATTCTGAGAACATGTCTCCTCTGCTGGCACCATTGGGACCAATGCCTTGAAGAGCTTTAAAGTGATCACCTTGAATTGCACCAGGAAGCAGTCCAGCAACCAATGTGCTTTGCAGAGCAGTAGTGTTACATGGGCCATTCTTGGGAACCTAATATCCTTCCTCATTAGTTGCTCCAAAGTTATTAAATCCTTGGAAATCTTTATAAAGGAGTAAATAGTTTACAACTGCAGTAAGGAAACTGAATGTAATCAAATTTGAGTACATTGCCTCATATTTGAAGGTATTAGCTAGATTCTTCTTCCATACATTTTTATCAATGTTCTAGATGACCATAAATAAATAAATTCTAAACATACAATTCCTTTAATGACCTCCAAAGTCACTTCCGATATTGATAATGTGCCATTCATGCTATTGAATTCAAAGCAATTAGGGTTTAAAAAGTGAGAGACAATTTCTGAAAGCAATAAAGGATAATAAAAGGCATATTATAACAAATACTAAAGATACCAAGAATTTATTGATTTTTATTACACACTTTTTGAGCCACTGATAGAAAAAGTTATATAGTACTTAAATACAATGAACCCTGCAGAAGTATCTTTAACAGATGCCCAGTATTTAAAATAAATCAGAAGTTATTGAGGTTTTCAAAAGTATTGAAAAAATGTTTAAGATATTTAAATTTAGTAGCTGGAACATTTGTTTCCTGCCTTTTTCTCCTGTGTGCTTTTGTGTGCTCTGTTAACATGATGATGTTCTTGTGATGATTTACCTCACAATGCTCCTGTTTGCTCCTGCCTATTTTGACTGATGATGTAAATATATTTATATTAAACTACAAGTTCATATCATCTATGATTTCATTTGAACATTTGCTGCACAATTCCCTGACAGTTTATTAGGTGAATTTTATAAAGAATTTGAAGTTATTTTTGTAGCATTGCTATCAATAAGTAATGTAACATCTCAAGAAAAAAACTTCCACTAGTCTGGTATGACTATTTTTAATCCCTAAATTAGGCAAAGATATCTGTCAAAATTAACTTCTTATATATCTTTATTCACTAGATAAAATTATACATCCTGACCAATCATTTTTTTTCAAAAAGAAATATATTTAATCCAATTAAGAAGTTGCTGATTATTATTGATTTGTAAAATTGATAATGTGATCTTTATAAATATGTACATAAGATAACTTTAAGCTTTACATTTCATGGAAGGAGCACTCTTAAAACAAATTTTCATAACTTTAGATTTGGCAATAATTTTCTTAATGTAATGGATTGAAAAATTTGCAAAATACATAAAGTCAACAGTTATTACTGATGTTCTTGCATATTCCTAAAAACAAGAAGAGATATCTAAAATTTTAAATATAAATATATTTGGCGGTGTATAAATCATTTAGATATTATAACTTAATGACAAAGAAAACAGAAAAACATACAAATGCTTGGAATAAGTGGGATTAGGGTTAAGAGTGAGGGGTTAGGGTTAGGAAGTTGTTTCCTTACCTAAGAGAGATAAGGGAGAAGAGAGAGATTATGTTTTACTTTAAGTCATTGGGATCATTTGTATGAGTCATAAGGACTCACTTGGAGCATTTGAAAGAGTGCTTACCTCAAGCAACAAAGAATTGTGACTAACTAGTAATCTTGGGACTGAGTCACTGGGAGCATTTAGATTGCATAACACTAGAGATTTCCAGGAGAAAATCGTACAACTAACAATCTAAAGTGGGAAGTCTACCAGGGAATATCAATTTGCATCTGCACAACCATGAAGAGTAACAAAGTCATCGAGAAAGAGGCTAGCACTATGGTGAT